ACACAAGCAACACACACACACACACACACAAGCAACACACACACACAAAAGCAAACACACACACACACACAGTCTCTCCCAGCTATGCCCACAACAATCACATTCACACATGCGCGTACCCGCTGGAGGTCGGTGCAGCGGTTGTTGTTCCGCTTGTGCCAGAGCATGCAGACGTCCATGCTGGCGTGCAGCGCTGTGCCATATGGGGCGTCGCAGCGCACCGTAACGTTTGGCAGGCGAACATGTGCCTTTGTCAGGGCGGGAAAGTCTGCACACTCGTCGGCATCCTCGTCCACAAACACCGAGTCCTGGAGGGCGCCCATTGGCGAGGGAAACGTGGACTGCAGCCGCTCGCGCCGGTGCGTGTCGCTGCTGGCGATGGACCCATCAAAGGGAACAACCATGTGCATGAACGCCTGCTCGCACATATCCGGTTGGCGGAAGACGAGCAAGAGATCGGTTGTGGGCTCATCAGTCCAGCTCTGCAGGACGCCACTCACATCCATGGATGCCACGGCGTTTGCATCGCACGCGGTCATGTGGCGCTCTGTCACGAAGAAGGTGAGCGGCGCCACCTTCAACTCCTCTGCCTCCCGGTGCTGCAGAAGCTGCTCGTGGTGAGGCAGGCACTCCGTCCTTGTTTGCAGCTCAATCCCAGCCTTGTAGACCGGCGCTGCAGACACCATCATGGGCATTCTTGTCGGGGCTGTGGCTGCCAGCATCACCAGCGCCAGCAACACAGCAGCAGCAGGAGCAACACCAGCGGCATGCATGCTGATGTTGCGTTGACGCTGTGATCGTCTTCCTCGCACAACCATCAGCTCCCGGTAGCTCCTCGTTACTGCCATGGCGTCTCTCACTTGCTGCCACGGCTCCAAGCCGCCACAACAACCTCCTCAGCCAAACACGCACGCACGGTAAATGCTGCTTCTGCTGTTGCTGCTGCAGAAGGGGGAGAAAGGGACACGAAGAGTGTGTGGGGGGGGGGAGGAGAGGAGGTCTGCTCGTCTGTGTGTGTCGTGTGTGTGTGGGTTGTGGGTACGTGCTGTGCTTGTGCGTGCTGCTGCTTTTCCTTCGACACTTCTCTTTGAGCTTCTCCGTGCCTATGTGCGTCTGTGCTGCTGTTACTCACTCACTTGCTGAAGCAACAACAGGACATGGGCAAAACTCACTTGCCGACACACGCACACACACGCGATGAATGTTGATGCATTCAGGATGCAGCCGCTCTGTCTGTCTCGGTTGCCAGTTGCGGTCGCAGTTGCAGTGGGTGATGGCGGCGGCGACTGCGGGTGTTGCTGGGTTAAGCACATGAATGCCATGCCTCGCTGCGGAGGAACATTGCGGGCATCCCGCGAACAGGGCATTGGAAGGACCATTGGCAGCCGTGGGGACTGTGCGTGTCGCTGTGCAACGCACACAGCCACCACGCATGCACAACGTGCCATTCCCACACGTCTGCACTGGACTGTGGCTCGCTCGGAATGCGCAACATGCTTCGCAACGACCGCCTTGAACGTCTTACCCGCATTTGACAGAAACTTATGCGCATCTTCCATTTTTAATCGACATGTAGATAATATGCAAAGTTATCCACAAACTATCCAATGCATAATTGTTATTTTGCGCCTTGATTTGACGCAATTCTAACAAAACCTTTCCCCAAACCAAAACAAGCAACAAGCAAGCAAGCGACAAACAAAGAAGCCAACAAAGCAGCAACACAAACCCCCACTCACTGACACTTGCTTGGCGCAGCCGTTCTTTGGTGGTGAGTTTGTCGAAAAGAAACAAACAGGTCGACAGTGTGAATGGGTGTGAATGTGTGCGTGTGTGCATGTGTGTGTGCATGTGTGTGTGTGTGTGCATCGATGTGTACGCGTGTGTGGTGTGTACACACAAAGCGCCACAGCGCCGCTTCTGTCTCACAGCAAGGTCTCCTTTGTGCGCACCACGAATTCGGTGCATGCATGATTTGCAGACAACGAACCAACCAACAGAGCAAGCAAGCAAGCAAGACAGAGGTTTCAGTTTCGTTCGTGTTGCAGTGTCGACACAAAGCAACACGCGCATCTGTCGTTCAGCGCCCGAGGTGTCGGCTGCTGAGTGACACGAAGCAGCGCCATGGAGACGCTCAGGAAATGGCTGGGCGTGTCGGAGTCCGAGCTTATGGACGCAGACAGCGTCCAGGACCGCTTTGTCGACCTCTGCATGTCTGGCGACATTGACGACCAACAGGTGTGTGTGTGTGTGTGTGCTTGTGTGTGTACTTGTGTGTGTGCTTGTGCGTACTTGTGTGTGTGCTTGTGCGTACTTGTGTGTGTGCTTGTGCGTACTTGTGTGTGTGTGCTCGTGTGCTTGTGTGCTTGTGTGTGTGCTTGTGTGTGTGCTTGTGTGTACTTGTGTGTACTTGTGTATGTGTGTGTGTGTGTGTGCGCGCTTGCGTGCTTGCGCTTGTGGGCGTGATTGAATGCATTTGTGGGGTTCTATGCATGCGTTGGTGCCTTCGTCCCTGGCATTCTTGCTTACCCACCATCTTGTGCCTCGTCTTCATCCCCTCCCCCCGCCCAACTTTGTTGATGTAGATCTCGGCTGAAGCCCGAGACATGATTCGGGAGGCCAAGGCAAGCAAGGGCACCGACAAGCAGAAGAAGAAGAAAAAGAGGAGCAAGAAGAAAAAGAAGCAGAGCGAGAAGAAGGTGAGAGCCATCGTCTTGCCAAAGGGCATTGGGATTCCCACATTCCCACACGCCTGCATGCTGAGCCACGCCTCTTCCCCTTGTGCTCTTTGAAATGTGCCGAGCTGGCGATGTTCACATGTCGTTGTTGTTGCGCTGCAATGCTTTGCTTTCGTCCTCCACATGGAATTAACTGTGGACCAATTGACAGGCATGTGTTTCCTTTGTTTTGACAACACCCGCTGCATTGACTCAATACTCACACGCTCGCCCTTGCATGCCTCTTTTGTTTTCTGTCTTGTCTTGTCTTATCTCCCCATCCCATTCCCTTTATTCCTTTGTGACCCACGCCACAGCGGCCGTTTGTGGTCTCTGTGCCGGGCCTGCTGTCGCCGTTCAACGCGTTTGCGCAGGTGCGGGAGCGAGTGCTCAACGCGCGTGCCCGCGCTATTGGTGTCAGCAAGTCGCTCAAGACAGACGACCTTGGCGTTGCCACCTCCACCAAAGCCGAGGAAGAGGAGGGCGAAGATGAGGACAAGGACACCGAGGCCAGCCAGGCTCCCGCGCCGCTGTCCAAGGTCCGTTTGTGAACGTGCGTGCGTGTGTGCGTGCGCACGCGTGTGTGCGTGTGCATTTTGTTTACGCGTGTTTGTAACAGTATGTGAGTATGAATTGTTTTGCTGCATATGGATGCCTGCAAACGCGATCAAGCTGCTCACGCCCACCTCTCCTCTTCTCCCTCCCCCCTTTCCCCCCTCTACCCACAAATCCCCCTCTACCACACCACTGTTGCCCTCCCTCAATAACGTAACAGCTGACGATGATGGGGCTGCAGTCCACGTTTGAGATTGTGCAGGACGTGTGCACAGCAGACACCGCGCTGGCGGAGCGCATGCTGCTGTCCCTGCTCAAGATCCTGGAAGGCCTTGACCCAGAGGCCATGTACGCGGAGGACGCCGAGTTGCTCAACGAACTCGCCACCATGTTCACCCATCTTGTTACCTCGGTCAAGAACAACCGCCTCAAGGCCATCCTCTACCAGGTGCAGCAAGCACGCCTGTCGCTGTTGTTGTTACTGTTGTTGTTACTGTTGTTGATCTGTTGACTATTGTTGTTGCTGCGTGGGAAAAGCCGACTACACCTCTGTTGCTTGTGCGTGTGTGTGCGTGTGCGCGCGTGCATGCTTCGTTCACCCAAACGCTCATCTGCATCTGTGTTGGCGCGGTGTTCAGTGCATGCTTGCGCTTGCTGTTGCCCGCGGCGATCCAAGCAAGACGCTGCCGACCATCCTGCCGCTCCTCAACGACCACTCCTCCGTCCCCGTCACCATGCCAGAGGTGCGCGTGCGCGCGCGTGCGTGTGTTTTTGTATGTCTGGTGTGAGCGTGATGCGTGGCGCGTGGTTGCCTTTTCTTGTTGTTTGGGGTTTCCCAGGTTGGCTGTCGCCCATATTCTCGACCGCCAGTATCGAGGCTGCTGACACAAACTCACCACCCCTGTCCTGCTCACACATTCCTTCCGCTTTTGCTGCCATGACGTAACTGACGAACAGAATATGAAGACGGTGGTGGCGAGTGCCCTGAACCACGCCTACCCGAACAACACCATTCCCTGGGTGAAGGTGTGCCCTGGCCCTGCAACGCAGCTCTTCTCCATGCCCTTGGCCGACTGCCTTCCCGGCGCTGCAGAGCGTGCGTTCATCATGCATTGCACTGCAAATCTGTGTTCTTGTGCTTCCCTTTCCCTTTCCCTGTCCTCTTTGTTTCTGTTTTTTTTTCCCTCCCTTCCGCCTTTCCCTGTGCTGTGTTTGCGTTTGGTCGCTCGTCCTGCTCCCACATTGTGTTTTCACCCCTGCCCCATTCGCGCATCTCACTTTGAATGATCTCCACCCCCTTTGACAACATTCCATATCACCTGCGCGCCTGCTTTCTTGTCTGCAGTTCCACGCGACACGCCCAAGGCGCTGGCTGTTGGCGCAGATCACGTCATCTTCCTCTCCGGGTCGTCCATCACAAAGGTGACGACGCACCAGCGCACCGCGGTGCTTGTTCACCGTCAATACCCGTGATGCTGGTCGCGTTTGCATTGCTGACACCCACCGTTTGATATGAGCCGAACTGTTTGTCCCACACACACGCACACACACACACATGCACACGCACACACACATACACACGCACACACGCACATACGCACACACACACACACACGCACACACACGCACACATACACACGAACACACTCGTACACACGTTCTTGTGAAAACACCAATCTTGTTGCTCACCGCCTCGCTTGCGTGATTGCTGCGCAGCTTGGGTCTGGCTTCAACGGCACATCGCCCGGCTTCTTCATGGGGTCGATGGACCTTGACCCGTCCTCTGGTGGCTCGTGGCTCGGCTACGTCTCGGTAAGCAGTGCATCCACCCACCCACCCGTGGCGTCCAGACACACCTGATGCGCAATAGCTGACCTCCTCTACTCACTCACTCGCTCACACTCTCCCACACTCACTCACTCCCTCGCTCACACTCTCCCACACTCACTCATCGTCGCACTTCTGTGCGCAGGGGCGGCTGCTGTACCGCAGTGAAACAGATGCGAGCGGCGTGTTCCTGCTGATTGACAGCACCACATTGCAGCCGACCGGTGTGATTGCCCAGGTCTCCGACAGCGCCAGCCTGGTGCGTGTTCCTATTGCGGCATTTCTGCACGATCGCGCATGCACATGTCACCTGACACGCGTGAAAGCACACAGTGATTGCAATGCACCCACCATAATGCATTGCAATGCACCACGCAAGGACACGCTACACCACACTACCCCACACTCCACCACATTACCCCACACTCCACCACAATGCATCACAGCACACTGCCACAATCCACCGTTCCACACGTAACACACATGCACGTGACGATGCTTCCTCGTGTGTGCAGATTGGCGATTTGCCGTACTGCCTGTTCACATCACCCTCTGGCGACCTGGGTGTTGTCGAGGACACGCCCAACGGCTGGCGCTACCGCATCCTCACCATCGGAACAGTCAACGGACAGCCGAGCCTGACAGACAAGTGCGCTATTATTGATCATGTTTCGTGCGAATGTACCTTTATCACTGACATGGAAATTTGCTCGTGTTTCGTACACACACACACACACACACACACACACACACACACACACACACACACACACACACACACACAACAACATCGCATACCCACGACAGACGCGGGGGCGAGGGGGGGGGACGGAGAAAGGGAGAGATAGTAGTCGCGGAGCAACAGAGTTTTGTGTGGGCGGGCGAACCGAGTCCTGGACGCCCCCTGTGCCGCGGGCGAGCACCCCACCTGGAAGGGGGTCCAGCGCTGGTCGAGAAGCGTGCTCACGGTAGCAGACTGATGATAGCAGTGTAGTACAAAGCGCAAATCGGCTGCACGACGAAGGCTGCAGAGTATGACGAAGGATGCAGGGGACTAGCAGTAAGACAGAAGAATTAGTTCCGGAAGGAGGATTGGGGTAAAGATTGGCGTATAGCCGGGTTTACAGTTGGGATCGGGGGTTGGTTGAAGCGCCAGGGAGCGAGTGTGAGTGCGGCAGTATCGAGTCGTGCAGCGGGTAGTTGGCTGTGCCTACTACCCTATACAACCAGTCTCTGGCATCCGAGCCCATCCCAAACTGTTACC